TGTATATGTATTTATACAGCAGCCACGTCACTTTTTTCACTTCTCTATATCAATGCCGTTCTGTTCTAATAATAGCAATGACTTCTGTCTCAACGGAGGCCAATGTATAGTAGATCGCTGTGTATGTACGAATGCATGTTTTATCGGCATTCGATGTGAGACTCCTTACAATGCAGTTAGCCTTCCATTTCCATCTGCCATTCTACAAGATATTCCCTCGACGCATATCATCTACATTGTTGTCCTTACTCTCATAGTTGCCATTGGGATAATGAACAATACTTTGGCGTTAATTACATTTATGCGTGAACGCATTCGAATCACGGTCTGTGGTGTCTATCTCATTGGATGGTCTATATGTAGTTTAGTTCTGATGCTATTTCTCGAAACGAATGTCTTTACTATTGCCCGATATTACACGAAATCGTATCATTTATGGTCATGCAACGTACTGCCATACATATCCTTAACGATGGGCTTTACAGGCATATGGATAAGTGTGGGAATCGCTCTGGAGCGAGTTTTGATTGAATGTTTCAATTTGAACATTTCCGGATCACGTCTTCGTGGATTACTCATTTCACTTGCTTTTCTTATTTTTGCGGCTATTTCGAATCTGCCAGTCATCTTTACTCGACAACAGATCCTCGATCCGTCAGGTCAGCCGATCTGTACCTTTATAAATATTTCAAAAACAACATGGGGCCGGATCGATACTGCTTTTACATATGTGCATGTTATCGTTCCGTGTGTCGCCCATTTGGTTTGTTCAGCATGTATTCTGACCACAATTGCTCGACGAAAAATTCTTATACATATGAATACACACCCTCACCAACGTCTCCGTCGTGTATGGCTCCAACAATTGTATCTTCATAGAGATTTTCTCATTCCACCTTTCTGTATTATTGCGTGTCTGTTTCCGAACGTGGTCTATGTACACTTACTTGCCCTGTGCATTCCATATTCGGCTCTCGTACAACTTCGACTGCACATTGCATTTGTACTTTTGCTTCATGTTCCATTTGTCTTGACTTTTCTTGTATATGTATATCCTAGTGAACTGTATGCAAAAGAATTCCAACAAACAGTGATCTATCGAATACTATGCTGTTGTTCATATCGAAAACAACAACAAGAAGAACTCATGGAACGACGACGACGAGCATCCAGTGCGGCTACTGTACAACACCTTATTGAGAACGATGCAGTTCGGCATGGATCATTATCGGGTGATTCGGGCCAACCCGATACATCTATTCCTTGACTTGAGAATTTTCAAATTTAAAAAAATCATCATCGAAAAAACTGAAGAAATCATTCAAATCTTTCAGAAATATTTCTTATAGATGATGTGAATATACTGGTACAAGAAAAACTTCTTCACATTTAAATGTTTGGTAGATGACTATTGCCTAGTTAAATAAAATCTCATTTGTCACTTTTGAATGTGTGGAAAAAGAAAATCGATAGAAAAGTATAATACTTGTGGGGTGTGAGGTGTGAATGTATAACTGTCACACAACCCACTCACACCCCACATCCACACCCAGATCTCTCAAAATCATTAGAAAATCAAACTTGATTTTTTTCTAATCATCGAAAATCGAGATCGAAACAATGTGTAGTTAATTCAAAATTCAAAAAAGATTTTGTTTTCCTTATATGTTTTACATTATTCAATGCAGAATCCGACGCCAATAACAAATATGTAATTTTTAATTCAAAAAAACAAAAAAAAAATTTTCTTTCCTTTCGAATAATGTCAATAACTTGAATGATCTCAATATCGTATAAATTACACCATTTTTCGTCTTAGGTTTATGTTCTAGATTTGATAAACAGTTTTATTCGAATTAACGAAATCAATCAAATATCACATTTTTATACTCAGTTTTCAATGTACAGTAAAACCTCTACTGGTGAACACCTCCTAATTATGAATGGTCTTCTCGGATTCAACGAAACAATTTTTGCTGGAAACGTCTCTCTCTCTAATGTCAGTATGTCTGTTTGACCTCTTTCTCTTTTCTGTCACCTATTTCTTATGCAGTAAGAGTAAATAGATTTTTTTTTGTATGATTCGACTACTGTATGTGTGAAATAAAAAATAACATTACGGTACGAACTTATTTTGCAAGAAAAAATAAAATTAAGTCATAATAATAAACATGGATAATCGTTTATCACAATATAAATTTCCTGAAAAAAAAATATAATCACTTAGTTCTTTATCAAATATTTTAAAACGAAAAATAACGGAAGCAATGAAAATGATACGAAAACTTCATTTATTAGCAATAACACAACAATCTCATCTACATATACATCTATTAATTAATGATATTGAATTTAAGATTAAAGAATATTTATATTAGTTCAAAAGCAAAAAGACAAACAACATTAGTAGATTTTTTTTAAGTTATATTTTCTATTGTAATTGAAAAACCTTTCAATTCAAATAATTTACATGAGAAGAGATGAATAAGACTCTAAAATGAATGGTTTTAAATGGTCCCATGGTGTTCACAATAGAGAAGTTTTATTGTAAATTCGGATAAAACTGCTTATCGAATTTAGAACATAAACTTAAAATAAAAAAAAACTAATAATTGTTCGAGAAGAAGAAAATAAAATAATCTTGTTCGTAGATCAAATTCACCCACATTAAACATATAGAATATCTAAAGAAAAAATGTATTCCAATTGTATTTAAGTTTCTTTTGTATACCTTAATGATAATTCATATATGTAAATTCACAAACACACGAAAAATCACTTTACAAATCATCTTAGTGATTGCATTGTATGATTGATTTCATCGAATCACATTATAATGAGACAAATTATACTATCGTGATGTTATTTGAGACAGTTCTCAAATAATGTTCGAGATATGACATTCGCTCTCAAAATCTTTTATAAATTTAATCTGAAACTGATTCAGATGAGAAGTATTGATGAATGTGAAATAGAAACTTGTTTCAATAACTCTCTTCTCTGTTTTAATTAATAAAAAGCATTTGTATGACCTTTGGTTTTTGATTTAATTTGTTTCCATTGAAACAGAAATGAATAGACATTGTCTTTCTTCCATGAAATGAAATATAACAACAACTAGATCAGGCAAGTTATTTATACATAAATTTGAGATGAGTTTCTATTTCCTAATTTATTATTTTGTCGTTGCAAGGTAACGATCACAAATACATTTTTATATGAAGAAAAGTACATTAAATCAAGCAATACCATTTTCTTCGTGATAATTTATTCATAAATAAATCTATCACATGCATGTTGCAGTAGAATTTTAATTTTCACTGCGACATATATTTACTTGTGAAAGAAACCTATTAAGATAAAATAACAAAGAAAAAAAATTCATCATTTCCATCACATTTCATCTACATACAGTGTCATACATATTAACTTTCAATGGACAAGTATCCAACCATTCATGTATCATTGGGTTTTGGGCGAAAGAAGCGCCATTCTTATGTTAAAGTAACGAGAATTTAATACAATAAGATAGATATTGCATTCATTTTTGTTTTTCTTTCTTTGTTATAGCGTATTCGTACTAATAGACAACAACGACAAAAACAACATGAACCTAGTATAATTCATGCATCATCTCGAGTTAGTCCATTAGATACATCAATGAAAACGCCTACAAATCTATTGATGACAAGTAATACCATCCAATCACAACAAACATTCCAAACTTCATTATTTTCTTTCGACATTGAATTCTCAACAAAAACGACTTTTAAGTGATTTAGAAAGTTTGTTCAATTGTTCTCTAGCATA